GGTCGTCTATCTTTAGGCGTCTTCAGGATCATCACTTTAGACGACTTTAAGGTCGTCTCTTTAGACGACTTTAAGGTCGTCTATCTTTAGACGACTCTTTAGACGACTTTAAGCTCGTCTCTTTTGACGACTTCAAGGTCGCCCTCTCACCTTTAGGCCCCTCTCTTTTTAGACGACTTTAAGGTCGTCTATCTTTAGACGACTTTAAGGTCGTCTATCTTTAGACGACTTTAAGGTCGTCTATCTTTAGACGACTTTAAGCTCGTCTCTTTAGACGACTTTAAGCTCGTCTCTTTAGACGACTTTAAGCTCGTCTCTTTAGACGACTTTAAGCTCGTCTCTTTTGACGACTTCAAGGTCGCCCTCTCGCCTTTAGGGCCCTTTCTTTTTAGACGACTTTAAGGTCGTCTCTGTAGACGACTTCTCAAACTTTAGTTGCTACCTCCCTACCTCTTGTATATCGTATTTTTATGTCAACTTATCTGTTTATATTCCAGGCGGGAGTAAATATTTTTCTAAACTCTGACAGACTTAAATAAACGGATTTATTTTATATGACAATGTAGTGAGATCAGCTGTAGAGGGCGAGGAGGAGAGTCAGAGAAACCGAATAGTTGCCTGGGGGCATATTTAATGCGAATTGCACGATAATGTTAGGAAGAAGAACGACCGGATGTGTTGCGTCTGAATGAATGAATGAAGGAACTTTTGAATGGATCAATTGGGATGAAATAGCTTATTTAAAATACAAAGAAATCTTCGAATCTGCAAAAAAGTGAAATTCCCATTGTTATCACTTGCTGTGTTATACTTTCCAATTCTTGAAACCCATTTGCGACAGCTTTAAAGCCGCAATCAATGTAGGAATTACAAAATAGATACATGTTATGTTTTTTTTTTTTCTTATTTTTCTTCAGCGATTCATTCATTCATATTCGCAAGTGGTTTCGATAAAAATGGTTATGATGATTATGTCATTGAATGATTTTTTTTTTCTCTTCTTATTTTTTTCTATTTTATTCAATAAACTAATGATAAAATTTCATTGTTGTTGCTGGTGCTGTTCTTGCTTGGAATATGCGCTGGCGGCTTTCGGCATTTGTTCAACAATTTGCATAATAAATGAATGTTAATACGATTAAAAGTTATTTATCCGCTTTGAATAGGTGAACCAAAAAAAAACACCACCACCACCGCAAAAACAACAACAACAACAACGCAGCATACATTATACTGAATGACTTATATCCACAAAAAGACACCTTTGTGTACAAACTTGTATGGCTGGCTATGTGGATCATTAACCCAAAGAAATTCTCAATTTGAATCTGTATTGTTTTCGTACACCTCTCTGGTCCATCCAACCAACCATTCATCCATCCACCTACACTACACATATAGCTTTTTTTGATTGCCATCCACCGTCACCATCAACCGACCGACCGACCGTATGTTGTATGATGTGGAGGTGCCTCTTTATCGTCATATTTGTTGTTTATGACGGCTTTAGTAGTGCTGTCTGTGATGACAGCGGGTGGAGGAGGAGGGATCGCGTAGTTGTAGTGCATATTATTGCTCTAAATCTAATCAAATCAACCATAACACACTCAATCCAATTAAAATAATTAATGTTTTTTATAATTTTTTTTAAGAAAATTTGCCTCATGTGACAATTGCTCATGAGAGGGCAAGAATGTCATCAAACTTGTCTGAAGAAATGAAAAAAACATAAAATAGTACAAGTGTGTGTACACCTTATGCGTAGCTTTGAGAGATTTTCACAAGGTGGACATTGAATTGACTTGAAGATGCAATTCGAAACGTTGTGATTGGAATTCTAGAATGACATTCGTAAATTGGTACATACAAACTGGAATGGGAGAATTCACTTCGAATTTATGAGATTTTTTCGTATTATTTAATGTGAAATTTGATACAAAATAATTTAAATGTTTTCAAATTAAAAATGGAATAACTTAAAGTTCAAGTGCAATAATTCGGATTAAAAAATTAAAGTAATTCTTTCAAAAAAAGTTTTGAATTGTGGGTATTTAATCCTCAGAAAAAAATTTTTCGACGGTTTTGCATAACCTCTATGTATATACGATACCGCCCGATATTCGGTGGAACTTAGAAGCATTTTTAAAAGAAGATTTTAAGGACGTCTGTGCAATGGATGCTAAGGTCGCAAAGAGGACTTTAAGATCTTCTTTAAATCTTATAATGCTTTTAATAGACTCCACTATTAAATTTTCATTGCGTTTGCAACACCTCAAAATATTTTTCGGAGGCTCCATAAATTTATATATTCTGGAGCAACGTAAAATTCTATGTCGATTTAGCTCTGTTAGCCTGTATATCTGTACCGTGGAATTACAAAGAGCTCGAACTATCAAACATAGAGTTTTATCCGCTTTGATGTTGATATTGAAAGTGAAATATAACGGTCCAATGGGATTTTAGATTTGGTAGATTTAACTAACGACCTGAAAAATACTCACGAGCGGGAGAGCTCGATGATTATGAGTATTTTCAAGAAGTTTTCTCTCCAGATCGTATACAAAAGATAAAAAAGAAAACAACAGAAGCAAGGCATTGCAAGTGGCCAGTTGATATTGTGTACAAAAACAACCCCACAACTTGTGAATAAAACACCAGTAGAGAGAATCTAAGAAATGCTCGGAAAGATAGAATCTGCTCGATTTTGAGCTCATTTTTCTCGCACTCAAAAAAGCGAATAGACTCGCTCTTATTTGAGCGACTTAGAAAATAGAGAGTAACCATTTTCCTTTTTTTTTTACTCGCAAGAGTACTTCCGCTCAAATTTGAGTTGAGAGGGAGAGAAAATCGTTCCGAGCAATTGAGTGTAGCCACCCAAACAAACCAGGTGTAATTAAATGCTTCAGTTATCAATGCAACAACTTTTTGGAATGGGCCTGCATTAAGGCCCCTCCTGAATTTTGTAGGTTTGGGTCCCAATTTTCAATCGAATCGACCTGCAATTTAATATTCTGGTTTCTCGATGGCTAGATTAAATCCATGGCAAAATATTCAATGTAGGTCCCCATTTTGCCAGCATACAGGTGAGATAAAAACTGAAACAAAGTCAAACGCCGTAATTTTTACTTTTTTTAAAAAATTGTTAAATAAAAGCTAAAAATGTCGGAAATATCATAAAATTTTAGAAATAAGTTTTAGATTTATTCGAAGTGGTCACCTTTGGCACGAATTATAGCCTTCAAACGGCCAATGCAACCGTCACACGCTGTGCGAATATTGCTCTGCGGTATTTTGGTTCATTCCCGGCGAAGCGCTTGCTGAGGTGATCGACACTTTGGTATTTTTTAGTGCCAAGCTTGCTTTCCAAATACTCTAGACACAATAGTCCAAGGGATTGGTATCCGGAGATTTCGGTGGCCATTGTGCGTTGGAAATGAAGCGAGGAACCTCATTTCGTAACCATAATTTTAACAGTGTCGGACGAGTGGCTTAAAAAATGACAGCAGTCTGAAGTTTGTTGCAATAATGTCATCTCATCCTGCATACACTAATTAGCCCAATGGACATGACTAGATCGATTCCAAAGGTACCAAAATCGCATTTCACCAAAAGAGACATGGGATTTACATGAGATCTGCGATCGTTATTTCAATGAGGCACATTTTCGCTATACGACATAATATTGCATACCCTCTACAGCCACATGGTTGAGGGCAACAAAAACGCTAAGTTGCAAATATTTATTTAAAATACCTATTAAATGAGTGTTGTTTTTTTTTTTGCGAAATCCCTATCAATCTTCCGTAGCTAGATAATCCAATCAACACAATATTTAATGAGAATCTTGAAAACGTCATTAATAATGAAAACAAACTACAAAATATCTCCCAATTCTTATCAGCTGCAAAGCAGCACAACATCTCTTAATACCAACAATTAATCATGCAGGAAGGAGGGGATCGATCGCAATGATCTCTCGTTCTCACATGGGTTGGCTGGCTGGCTATTCCTCGAATAGGCAGATAGATAGCATTCCTACGAAGCCCCCCACAATTGCGTAGCAATTTTTTGAATTATTTCACATTGAGTTCAGTGTGAGTGACTGAGTGAGTGGTGAGGTGTGAAGACCAGATTCGGTTATAAATTTTCGCCCAAGAAATTCTGCAGCAATAGACCATCCGTTCGCCCGCTGCATGACGTTCTAAAATTTCTAAACATTGTTTGTCTTCTGTTGTTTTTGGAAATTTCCAAACAATATTCAATGAAATTGCACTCGTTTCATTGTTGCTGCCGCCGTACATGGCCATAAACGGATGTGAAAACTCCCAGCTTCTGTGGTACCTCAAAGAGCTGTTGTGCCCCAAACGTGCCGTGGTGCTGTTGGCAATTGATTGCAAAATCGCTGATGATTCATGTTACACATATTTTGGTTTTGGATTTTGCTGTTTGTTGGAAATTTATAGACCCAAGAGAGAGATTGATGGCTGTAGTGTTTGGGCGTTTGTTTGACTTGCCGTTGGATCACTCCAACTAAACCAAGAAAGGCCAAATTGTGTGTTTTCGGTAAAGAAAAAAAATTAGAAGAAGAAGAAGAAAAAATAACCAACTGTCTGCTGCATGTTGGCGTACTTCAAGTATTTGTATGCGTTCACTGACTGACTCAACAAGCTCTTTAACAACTCTGTGTGTGGTTGGTTGGCCGGTTTGTCGGTCGTTTGGTCGATTAATTTATCCAACGTGTAATGATGCAATTGTTTATTTGTTGTATGTTTTATTTCTAATGTTTGATTGCTCCACGGTATGCGGCAAAGCATTCCACCTTTCGCCTCAAACCAGCATCAAACTTGATGTCGGACAGTAGTAGCGAGCAGGAGGCGCTGCTGATGGGATGTGAAAAGACTCCTCAATATATTAGGTTATTTCATTATTTTTTTAAACTTAAAGTGAAAGAAATATATTTTATGGTTCTAATGATTATTTTCTTTTTTTTCTCATTACAGTGAGGTCCTAGCTGCCTGGCGTGCCAAAGCAAGATGCAATGTTGTACCTGCCGAACGTACTCAAGAACTATTTCAAGAGCTGAGTTTCCATCCAAATGACAAACAGAGTAAGTTGAATACATAATAGTCCTTTCAAATGATTTGGGATATCTTTTCATAGAGGATTTACAGATTGTTATGAAAGACATTACAGGTCAGAAGAGATCTTAAAATGTTCTCAGAATGATCAGAAAGAGATCTATGATTTTTTTTCTATAAATAATATCTATAAAATATCTCATAGAAAATCTGCAAATATCCTTTCAGAGGATCAGCGGTCTTCTCTCAGTATTCCAACATTAATTCTCACAGAAGTCAAAAGATCCTCTTGCGAAAATCCACAGATTAATTCATCGAAGATCAACAAAACTCTCAGAAGGCAGACAAATATTCTCACAGAAAATCAACAGATCATCTCACGAAAAGTGGACAAATTCTTTTTATGGAAGATTCACAAATCTTCAGAATATCTCCGAAGAAATGCTCTCAATATTTAAGAGGAGATAATCGATATTCTCCTAAAATATTTGATTTATTTTCCTAGAAGACGTACAAATATTTCCAGAGGATTTTATATCTTATCCTAGAAGTAAGAGGAGATTTCCAGATCCAAGAAATAAGTTTTCTTCTCAGAGGACTTTTAAAAAAAATCCTCAAATTTTGCCAAAAAACTATTGAAGATCTGAAGCTTCTTATGGAAAATCTTCAGATGTTCTCAAAAAAAAATGTTATTTCACATGAAATCTATAAATCGCTAAATATCAAAAGATGTACTCATAGAAGAACTTCATCTTGCAGAAGTTTGACGTATCTTCTCACATTTTCTAACAAAAGATTCACAAATCTCACGACTCAAAATTTCATATCTTTCGGAATAAATGCCTAAAAATCTAGGAGGAGAGATTAAAAATAGTCTTCTAAAAATTTAAACTTCTTTCCCAGAAGACACACAGAAATTCTTAGAGAATGTTTATGTTCCTCCCGAAAACATTTCTTGGTGAGAGGGAGAGAAAACTTTTCTCTGTGAGAAAAGATTCTTAAAAAATCGCATTTTTTTCAAATTTCCATTAATGATATCTTCAGATCTTCTCATAGAAAACTGCAAAATACTCTCATAGAAAATCTGTAAATAATCTCAGAGGGAGCCTTTAGATATTGTCATAAAAACCCTCAAATCCCCTCCAAATCCCTTTTCATAGATCA